GTTATGGCATAACTAATATACAACCTAAACCAGGTGAGGAGAAATGAGTCATGGCAGAACTAGCACACAACTTGAACCAAGAGGGAAGAAATGAGTCATGGCAGAAATAGCACACAACCTGAACCAGGTGAGGAGAAATAAGTCATGGCAGAACTAATACACAACCTAAACCAGGTGAGGAGAAATGAGTCATGGCAGAACTAGCACACAACTTGAACCAAGAGGGAAGAAATGAGTCATGGCAGAACTAATACACAACCTAAACCAGGTGAGGAGAAATGAGTCATGGCAGAACTAGTACACAACCTGAACCATGAGGGGAGAAATGAGTCATGGCAGAACTAGCACACAACCTGAAATACTACGGTATATAAAACGCATGTTCATTCAATTGTACATGTTCTGTCAACAAGTACACTTTACTACTACGTCGCTGTACATTTCTGAAGGAGTAAAAATTAAACCACTGCAGGATTCAAAATCAGCCTGCTGCTTGACAGGCAAGTACTTTGAACAACTGCAATTTACTGATATATTAATGTAGAAATAGGTAGGGCTCTCACGCTATGTCGATTACATGTATATCATCCACAAAACAGACACCTCCTTGTGCTGCCATCTCTTGAGTATTTTTAAACTTACGAACTTCTTAAAAGAAATACACTCGAATTATTCAAGGATTAATCCTAAGTTTAGTATTTAAATTGCAGAAATTAATACAATAAAAGTAAATGTATTTACATATAAATATACATAGCTAAATATCCATCGTCTTACGTTTAATCATTTTCATATCTAAATACTTTTAGATATTTATCATATGTACACTACCTGCTATGTAACGATATACCTCAAGGACACATGTTGATAACAAAGAGTGCAAGACTACCTCAGGTACATCAAACACTATGACAAGAGCAGTGTTGAAGTTGCGAAGAGTTATCAACCAAACAAGATCGCTTTAATACGTTAATATACTTCGTTATTAACGCTCTGTTTGACTGTAAGAAAGTTTCCGGAGTTCAAAAACATTCATTCTTGAATATCTTTACATCACAATATTCGAACTCGTATTCACTAGCCGTTAAACAATGTTTTCAAGACCAACATGTCAATCAAATCTTATGTGATACAACAATATTAAAATACTGTATTCACCGGCCATTAAATAATATTTTCAAGGCTAGAATGTAACCAAATATTATTCCATTACTGTGAACCAACAATATTCAAACATTGAATTCACTAGCTATTAAACAATGTTTTTTATGACCATGTGCTACCATATTCTATCATTGACCATTCCAGTGTAGTACCCTATTGTAGCATACATTCGCCTTTTACTAGGTAACAATATTTACTGTCTATGAATATTAAGTTGTACCATTCATTTACTTATTATGAAGTAATAATATTTATTTTCTATGAACATTCAAATGTAGCACTCATTCACTTTTTACTATGTAACAATATTTACTCTCTAAGAATATTAAGTTGTACCATTCATTTACTTATTATGAAGTAACAATATTTATTTTCTATGAACATTCAAATGTAGCATTCATTCACTTTTTACTATGTAACAATATTTACTCTCTAAGAATATTAAGTTGTACCATTCATTTACTTATTATGAAGTAACAATATTTATTTTCTATGAACATTCAAATGTAGCTTTCATTCACTTTTTACTACGTAACAATATTTACTGGCTACGAACATTCAAGTTGAAACATCCATTTACTTATCATAAAGTTACAATATGTATTGTCAATGAACATTTAAATGTACCATTCATTCACCTTTTACTATGTAACAATATTTATTGTCTATGGACATTAAGTTGTACCATTCATTTACTTATTATGAAGTAACAATATTTATTGTCTATGAACATTCAAATTTACCATTTATGCACCTTTCACCATGTACATATGGTTTACTTTTTATGAAGTAACAATGTTCAATCAACCAAGTATATCAGTTATTTACTTACTGTGAATAATAACAATTGAACTATACAGAATATCACTTATTCACTCAAACAATAGTAACCTTTGTTGTTGTCAAGTAACATTCAATATAAGTATAGCAGTTATTTGGTTTTGTAACTTTATCAAATCACAACTGAACACAGTACTGATTACTTTGAAGTAATTATATATATTGTCAAGCACATGTTTAACTAAATATTTAACTACTCTGAAGGTTCAATATTTGCTTTAAATGTTCAGATTGTTAGTAATTCACCAATTAAACTTACTATATTTAACTACTCTGAAGGTTCAATATTTGCTTTAAATGTTCAGATTGTTAGTAATTCACCAATTAAACTTACTATGATATTTACTAAAAATTCAACTTTAACAGTATTGCTGTCCAATTTAGTGCATTGTATATCTCTATCTAACTGTGGTATAAACTGATGTAGTTAACTCAGTCTCACCAATATGTCTTATGTATCCAGTAACCTTTTACTTTAGTTTAATACCTGAAACTACAACTCCAAATGTGTGAACGCTTTACAATGGATATAACTCCGAATATGTGTTTTACAACAAGCACAATTCTACTTACGTTTTACAACAATTCCAAATGTGTTTGTGTTTTACAATATCTGGTACAATTCTCCATACCTGTGTATTTTACAACTTCTGGTACAATTCCTTGTATGTGTGTAGTACATTATTAGATATACATGTTGAAACATTACTAACTCTGTAATGCTTATACAAAGAGTTTTCACTCACTACATGAGTTTTTGTTTAAGATTACCATAAGTTAATATGACTACATTTCTTTTCAGAGTAAATTCAGACAAATGATAGTGTTAGAGATATTCAAACACTGAAACTGCAGTAAAGGCTTTTGAAATGAAAAAAAAAAAAATATTTTATTAAACTTAAAATGTACAGTAATTCAAAATACCAGGTTTAAAAACCACTATTAAAGCTTAACTACAAGTCAGAGGTTAGGTTTCTACCCTGGTATATAATTTTATACAATAGAATTTTTTTTTACAAATTTAAAATGATTTTTACGAAGAAACTAAAGTCTTCACAGACAGCTGATTTTTTTTTATTACATTTGTTCTTATATAACAACAATATTTACATGAGATTAAACTTTCTATATAGCAGATCTAAATGATTGAAACAAATAATCTAAAAAAGCAAGAATAAATCTCGCATTTTATAATGTCCTTCACACTTGAAATTGTTCCCTCTGAAGAGACTTCAATCTGTGTTATACAAGAAAATTCATAAATGTGGATTTTACTGTTACTACTAAAAATGGAATGAATTGTTTTCTCACACAACATCATCACTCGTTTCAGTTTAGAAGTAACTCTGAAATATAAAATCAGTAAACGAACACACCAACTAAATATTTTCAATTGAAGAACCAACATTTCGAGAGCTTACTGCACCATGCAGTATTAGACAGCTTAAACAAGCTCTGAAATACTTATTGAGAAACATGGAACTGCTACTACATGACTGATTTCTTCTACATGTTACAACATCTGCAGGAGTTGAAACACCAACACAAGTCAGTGGATCGAGACAGTTGTAACGAAGGAAAGTCCATTAGGTTAGGAAATTATAAATTTCTTAAAATACTATTACTTATCATAAAATAGAAGCCAAGAAACAGAACATCACCTAGTTTTTAGAACATGACAGAAAGTACATCTGAAGAACACAGCATGAAGACAAAACTGTTCTACATGTACAGTAAGATGAGTAACTTCCAACAGTGAGGCTGAATATTTTCAAAATGGGAGAACAGCTTACTTTTCTTGTAGGGGGGGGGATTCTTAACCAGCACCAGTCTTGATATGTTAGCTGCTTACTCTAATAACATTTCAAAACACAAGATGGAGCCACCATTCACACATTTTGTAAATATATGGATGCTGCTAACATATACTACTCTGTCTTCATACTGAAGGTCTCCGTGTCTTTATTCTCCTCATAATATTGAGCAACTGGCACTGCAGCACCCACTGCTTCTTTCTTTACTCTTCTGTCTTTGATCTAAGAAAAACACTTAACATCATTATCCTGTCCAACTCGCTACATAAACAAGAACATTCAATGTGTTATCTTCTTATTCTACTCAAACCAACACCCTATTAATTATCAATCTGAAACAAACAAATAAATAGTATTATCTCAAGTATGGTAGTACTTAATAAAAGTGACTGTGATATAAACAAAATGGCAGCTATAAAAACCACCTTTAAAATGAATAACTTTTAATTCTGCTAGCAGGATGAAGAAAAACAGAAGTGCCCCTGGCTGTCTAACAAGCCCTCTGTTAGATTTTAAAACTGTCAAATCAATATGATACAAATGATAATTTCACAGTATTGGTTGAGCAAACCTAAAGCTTGTTGTACCTATAAAGCTGCCTAAACCTCTATATATGTGGTTATGTAGTGAATCAAAATTTCATTATTTCAACAAATTTTCATCTAATTAAGTGACAAGTGTACAGAAAAAAATGATGAAACTTATCATTCTTAATTCTTTCACAGAACTCTTCCATCTGGTGTCCCAATGTTTCCATTCCAGTAACAAAAAGGATACTAGTATATAAAACAGATAATGTGCTACTTTAGGCATATGATTAGATTTGAGGGTAGGCTGGTAGAGATCCTGATGAGTAATAAAATCAAATTGGGTATACGCACACACCATATTTGTTAATACTGGCACACAATAATATGGTTAATAAAAAGAAAACAAACAAGTATAATAAAAAAATTTTTAATCTTAAAAAAACAAGTAGGGATTTATATATACTTAACTCTTTCATCCCAGGGCTCGGGTCCTGGAACTGACCTCATAACCATTTTGGGCTTGTTATAGTTTTCATGCTATAACTTTTAAATTAGTAGGTGAATGTTAACCAAATTTGGCAGATTATCAGAAAACATTACAATGCTTTCATACGCAAAATATTTAATTTTTTTTTTATTAAGTCTTATGGTTTGTAAAGCAATCTTTCTCTCGTGCCTTTTTTTTCTTTTCACATCTTGCCTATCTATCATACAAAGTAATTTTCATCTTAAAATTAAAAATACTTTTATGCATCAGAAAATTTTGAAATTTCACATGCAAAATCTTTATAATGTCCAGATAGTTATCAAACATTTCTGAAGAAAAAACTATATTCTATCTGTTATTTTCAGTAATTAATCTCAGTATGGGTTCGGTAAATTTGACCAATCTTGCAACCACCATACAAAATTAGGAAATGAACATAAATTATGCATCTATCATTCTAGAATGAACACAAATTATAACACAAAAACATAAATGTTTAGACGAAATAGTTTATATCTCATAACATTATACATTTATTATTTTTATTATATTGACCTTTCACCCGTGTCTGGCTAACAAGACAGAAGTTACAATGACACAGATCACGTTACCATATCGAATAACATTATACATTTATATATTTTTATTATATTGACCTTTTACCCGTGTCTGGCTAACAAGACAGAAGTTACAATGACACAGATCACGTTACCATATCGAATAACATTATACATTTATATATTTTTATTATATTGACCTTTTACCCGTGTCTGACTAACAATACAGAAGTTACAATGACACGGATCACGTTACCATATCGAATAACATTATACATTTATATATTTTTATTATATTGACCTTTTACCCGTGTCTGGCTAACAATACAGAAGTTACAATGACACGGATCACGTTACCATATCAAATAACATAAAGGTGACCTTTGGTCTGTGCAAAGTAACTTGT